GACAGCTTATCACCTCCTTGCATCCTGTCATCTTTAAGCCATCTGAAGTAATCTCCTATCACGGTGATAAGCTTGGCTAAGAAGGCAATGCATTGCAGAAAAGATAAAGTCATACTTATGGAAAACTGAAAATGTGTGATTATAAAATCATGCAAATTAGCTATAAAAATAAAACATTGAATCAGAACCTTCCTCACTAGTATTTCTTCCTTTGTTCTCGTCTACTTTCTTGTTCCCTATTGCACTGTAATTGCTATTTCATTCTTATGATTTTTTTTCTCTTCAAATTTAAGAGGTATGACTACTGCTTCATCAGCTGACCTGGAAGAACATGCAAATAAAGTAAGAATTAATCTATGGAGAAATGAAGAATTATTCAATAACACAATGGTACAGGGGGAAGCTGGATATGCTCCTTTTGGTAACTGGTTATCTTAACATCTAAGAAATTTTTAGAAAGACCAAAATCATCAACAAGCTCTTTAGCTATATTCACATGTAGGCTATTTAGGGCTGTAGGCGTAGTGAAGGAATGAGGATTTTTCCCCACTCAAAACTGCTCAGTATGGAATGACCCCATTCTGTTAGTAATTTCAGTGAAACTACAAGTACCTTTTTAGCAAGAAAACTGTTAAGTATGTGAATAACTTCATGGCCATCTGTCACCTGAAGGAAACAAAGGAAAGAGATTTATTATGGTAGTTTCTTTCTTAAATAATTGATTCCTTCATAATCCTTTACTCCCCAAAATTCCAAATTCAGACATATTAGGTTGTGACTATGAGAGCTTTATGCTCATTTACTTACTACTAGAATTTTTTTTGCAGATGTAAATGTTCAGGGCTGGATGGCCTCCTCTAGAGTGCTTACTCAGGGGAATGTTTAATTTTTCACAGGAGTTATCCATTGGAGTTATATGTCATTGAACTTCCTCCAGGAAGAGGGATTTCACTTTTGAATAACAGTTGCCAAGTTTGATTCTGTGTTTGTCTTGAACTTGTTGAGCTTAATGCTAGGGAGACACACCACACTGTGTCAGCACAACTGAACTTCAGGTAGCCTTATTGATGCAGGAAATCCACATTTTGTACATTCTTTCTTTCAGAACACATATTGAAAGTACATTTTTATAAATGGAACTTACACAATAGTATATGTTTTCAATGCCAACAAAGACCTTGGGAAAGTTAATGTTTTGCCATTATTAATGAATCAAGAAACTGTACTCCCCGCTCATTTCTCTATGCAATGAACCATGATAATTTTGTTGCTGAGTAATGTTTAATTTTTATGGTACATTACCTGATCATGAATCAAAAGGAATTTCAAAGGATTCTGAAGGCACACTACTTTAAGATTTTTTAATTGAAAGAATTTATTAAGCTATCCAGGTGTATATGTATATAACACAGCAAACCAATCACATTCTAAATGTTTAGATTAATGAAAAGAATATTATCAAAGTTATATGAGGCTACGATATCATACATTTGCTTGTATATCCATGTGATAACTACTGCATTTCCAATGCATGAATTTTTATGGAAAATATCAAAAGAAACTCTGAGCACATACAAAATTTAACAAAGAAAATTCAGATCCAGCTGGAAAAGGAATGCAAGAAGGATGACAAAGAAGAAAAGTGTTTGGGGACAAAACTATCACACCAATTGCCTCTATTTCAACTAAGAAAGCAAGAGTTTCTCTTCTGTCCCAGTTTAAAATTTTTAGTTGAGCAATTTTATCAAACTGCATGAAATAGCCAAGGATTTTTCCAACTGTCTTCTATTGCATTTTGTCTTGTGTTAGCCAAGCCTGATAAAACACCCTCTCAAATAATCACTGGAAAGCCCTTTGTATTTATTAGGAGGGTGTAAAGTCTACCTACATAGTGGCTGTATTCAGAAGAACCAGGAAGAGCTAATTAACCTCCATTTGGCGTCTCTGCAATTTTCTCTCCATTTCTGGGAGAGAACAAATACCAACAACCTGGACAGAGTCTGGTGAAGGACGTTTATGGACAGTTTGTGTGCCAAAACATATAACCTACAGGAGAGACTGAAGGGAAAAGATTTGCTTGCCCTGGAGAACAGAAGCAAAAGGAGACATTAAATTGAACCTTCCACTCCGTTAAAGAGGACTACAGACGAGAAGCCAAGCTCTTTTCAGAGGTCCACATAGAAAAGACAGAAGGCAAAGAGTAAGAGTCACAAACTGCAGCAAGTGAAACTGATAATGCATAACTTTTGCCTGGAGGCCAACCTCTGGAGATAAATCTCCAAAGAAAGGAATTCATCTCAACTATGTCTTTGCAACTATTTTTTGTGCAACAGAAGAACTATTTGCCTTACACTGCCCTACAGCAAAGCTGGGCACAGAGGACTTCTTTTGCCCACTCATTTTAGTGGAGTTAGATGGCCTTTTTCCTGTTAATATAAGCAAAATCTTAAATTTGTTGTCTTAAAATGACTAGAAACCCTTTACTAGACATTGCTCACCTGCAAACACCTCTTCTCAAACACAGAGTTTTCTTTACTTTTAGCTTTTCATGGTAACCAGAGATGACACAATAAAACTTCAGAGCTTAGACATGGCTTAGAGGGCTTTGACCAAGCTCATCTACTCTCAGTCCCACCACGTACATTTGCACATGCACATCCTTTCTGGTGTTCTGCTGGCATATTTTCAAATCTCAGAACAGCATGACAGGGAATTAGAGGGTAGGGGGAGTGAGAGAAATCTGATATGAATGACCTTATCAATGTTTGGACCCTCATGAACATAACCCTGCTCTTTCACAATAATTTGTGGAGGTAGATTACCTTATTTCAGCAGAAACACCTAAATGAAAAACTTGTTGGTATGGCATATTTTCATAAACTATTTAGATGATAATGTGGAATTTCAGCTATATAAAAATTAAAACTTTTAAACTAGATTGAAGAATAATAATTATAATCCTCTATGGTTTGGCAGATTGTCATATCTATATCACTTTACAAGGCATATCCTTATTTTCATCAAAATTTTATCATTCATTGAAAATAATAATGAACAAACTGGGTTTTTTTTTGAATTTTCTTTTCTTGATTTTTAGATAGCTTTTTTTTTTTTATATGTGTGTGTGTGTGTGTGTGTGTGTGTGTTTCTGAGCCAGGATCTCAAGGTACAGCACAGTGAGTAGGTAAGCTTATTTTTTCTCTCTTAATTGTTCTCAAGATTTCTCTGCTTGATTTTGCAAGATTATATTTGTATCACTACAACCCAAAAACTGGAAAGAAAATATGTTAAAGAGGATGTAGGAATTGATTCAGTTAGGTCATTTATGAAGTGTCAACATATCTGAATCCAAATGAATGAGCCCATAATTCAGTTCTCTTGCTCTCTAGCCACACTAGATAAGAATCTATGGGCCTTAAATCTTCCAGACACATGCAATCTTGTACTCAAGCATACAGACAAAACTTTAGTTCAAATATCCTGTTGACTTAGCTTAGTCAAGATCCGGAAACTGTTTCTCTCCCTAAATCCCCTGATTCATTTGTCATGCTCTGAGCATGACCACAGGAGCAGGTTATTCACAGGATAAATTTCATGTGCCTTTTAACTTTTCCACAGCAGCACAGAGGACTGGCCCAACTGTTAGGTGACCCAGCTTCAGCTCTTTTTCAGTGTCGAAGAATTTTGGCACAGCATTCCCTCTCTCATCAAAATCCTGCTCACTCCTGGAAAAAAACCCAAAACATTTCTCTACCTTTGAAGTATGCTGTGTCTGTCTACTGAAATTGTATGAAGCCTAATTCCAGCCTGTTTTTAAGGACCATTCAATAAAAAATTGAGAAGTTAATTGCACATTCTCCTCTGTGAGCTGTTTCTCATTTTCATCTTTTTGTACTTTTATTTCAGATGCTCATTTGAATCTGTCACTTTGGATCTTCTTCATAAGGCATGAGCAAGCCTGCATACCTGGCACAAAATTCAAGCTTACCATCTATTGACCTTAGAACCTTAGAATATATTCCATACCATGCTTTTTAAAAAGCCCAGCTCTGTTACTGTTTCTAGCTTCTACCCTTGAGCCAGGATGCCAGGTGACAGATGGTAATGCAGGCTGAGGTTTCCCTGAATTCCTTTTTTTTTTACTTTTCCACATTTGAAATTGTATTTCCATGCCCTTCATGCACATGCTCCCTGTATTTTGGGGTGTAACTTCACGCTGATGGCAGCAGAAAAAGATCAGCATCTTTTTCAAAGATTTCATATTTTATCTTACTATAGATATCAATTAGGTTTCTTTGAAAAAAGAATACCTGCACAAAAAGCAATTTTCTCTTCTTGTAATATTCTACATTGCACTAGATATTGCTGAAGTTATTGGTGTCTGAATAACATTGTTCTTCCTCATTACCCCACATCTCAGCTAGGTGGTGTGATGAATTCACAACCCTGTATTTATGGCTTCACATTCCTAACCACAGAAAAAATCAGTAGTAGCACAAACTCAGTGCTGTGGCTTTACTTAAGATATAACTGGTATAGCAGAAAAAGACTGAAAAGTTGCTGTTACAGCAGAAATTATTTGAAAAAGGAGAATGAATATGTGAAATGATAACAAAAGGCCTTCCTAAACACAGGGATATTATATGTCTTTCTTTTTCTTTCACCAACGATCCCGTGTTTTAATTATTTTAGGTAGCACTTAGAAAGCTTATTTTAACATGAGTTCAAGATGGTGGCTGTGATGTCTTTCCATTCAATTAGGAAGAAGAAGGAAAAAAAAAAGTTGTGTTGTGAGGTGGAGGGAAAGCAAATCCTTGTATGTGGTTCTGTCACCAGGCCAAATTCTCAGCTCTGTGTGGCGTTCATTAGCTTTAGAGAATATAGTGATGCCACTATAACTGGTTCACCTGCCCTGTAAGGATTGATAAATCCACCTACAAAGATGAGGAAGAAAATGGAGATCCACTGGCTAAACAGAGGTATAATTTTGTATTTTGCAGCTATTGGCAGAAAGGACAAGGAATGTCCACCACTGGATGAAGTTGTCTCCCTTTTCCCACTGCTGACTGTAAAAGCAAGGCTGAGTTTCCCTGGACCTGTAACTATAACTTTCCATCTGGAAAAAAGCCCTCTGATGGGAACCGGAGCATTTACACTTCTCTGAACGGAGCTTGAACTAAGACTTGCTGACTGTAGGAGTCACTACACGCTGTGCTCGTGAATTCGCCAACACTCGCATTACATCTTGTTTGATCTCTACTCAAATTTCCTTATACACTGTCTGAAGAAGTTACCCTCAAGCTTGGTCCAAACTTAGCAGCTGCAGTGGCTGGCTCCCAGTGCTTCGATCCAGCAGGCTGCAGTTGTCTGTACATGACTGCAGCCAGACTGCAGCAACCCGTAAAGGCAATAGCCACAGCAGGAAATGCTTTCTCCTATCCATCCTGCCAAAGGAGTTGGATAGGGCAACAAGCTGAGATGGGAATGTTTTTTACAGCTCCTTCTCCTGTCCCCTTGCCTCACCCCTCCAGCTGTATTCTGTGGAAAATATGTCCATCTTTCCCAAGAGCACCCAGGGCATTGAGACAAGCAGTCACTGAGAAACATGGCAGCAGGATGATGTCGCCAAGCCATGAACAGGCAGGGTGGGTCTCCCTCCTGCTTCACATGTTCTCAGGGCCAAGAGTTCACTTTGTCTTTGAGGTGATCTTGAGAAGGAGGAGATAATTGCTGAGGAAGAAGCAACTTGGACTGATGGAAGAATCTTGAGACAATAATTTTCATAAACATTTGTCTAGCTCCACATTACTTTAGACATTTTCAGAAAGTATTTTTAATGTATTGAGTATTTTTGTCTCGTATTCCTTCAATCATGCTCAAAATTATGAACTTCAAAGACTTCCATGGTTTAGAAACCCATGGGAAGAGATTGTACTTGATCAAGGTTTGTTTTAAATATAATGATGACTTTTAAATCTTTGTGCAGGCATGATGTTGTGGGGAAGAAAGAAATTAGAAAGCTGCAGTTTTGTATACTGTGTATCTCTGAGCATCAAGAGCTGTCAGAATATTTCAAAATGAAATGGAATGGGATTCACATAACAATGAACAGTCCCTGTTTGAATCAATATTAAGAGGTTACCCAACCCCTCATAACTGTTGATTCCACCTTGATGACATCCTTGATTACTGTCACACTGCAAAGCCTGCCTATATCCTACATACTTTTGATTGTAGTGATATTATGAGCACCATATGAATTTGCACTAGGCAGGGAGTAAGAGATTATTGCTGCCAGAAACTGATCTCAGGCACTGAAGGAAAACAAACCATTATTTTCCCCTTCAAGCAGTACTTCTTCCTTTTGCCTTCATGTGCTTTGTAACTGTTTTTATTCATTGTGTAAATACAAGTGTAAGAAGTGCTACATAAAGTATATTACACTTGCTAAACCTTAATCCATGCTAAAACATCCTTGAGGCACTGCCTCATGGACTGAAAGATACTTCTCCAACAACTCTCATTATTCATGGATCATTGATATGATAGACCCTAATAGCTTCCTCAAAGCCATTACAATGTGCTATATATAAATGCAAGCCCTTAATCCATGGATCATTGGCATGATATAATGCAACACTCATTTAAAACCCTTGCAGTCTGTCAAGTGAATGCATACTATTAGAGATCTTTAATTTGTGGATTATTGCCACAATTGATCATTACACTTCCTCTGGGGCTGCTATGGTCTATTCCATTAACATATGAACATGAAACCTAATCGGTAGATTATTGATAAAAGTAGTTTCATCTGTTTTGTCAAAAGCACATATAGAGTTGAAGGCTCACTCATTTATAAGCTCTCCTAGACTCTTTACTCCTTAGTTCAATAACTTACTTTTCCATTTCTTTCTTTTTGCTATTTGCTTATGCAAACAAACAAATTCATGTGTTCAAAAGGGTTTTTGTGTACATCTGAGATAAATGGGACTTTAGCTTTCACTTTTATTATTTGTGAGATCTGGCAAAAAATGACACAGGCAAAAATATGTGCTCTGGCTTGAAAGTGTGGTCCTGAGACTCCTGTATTCTATAAACACTGATACTACTATATTTTGTGTGGCAGAGATGGTAAAAGCATTTCTGAAGAAACCATATCACACTTCTATGCATACCAGTACTGAACACTTTTAAACAGACTGTCTCATACAATTCCCCTATTAAAATTCCTAAAGTTATCAACCCAGACCCTATGGATTTGTAGTCTTGAGATTAACCTTTTAATGTTTACCTATTAGGAAAGTTCTTATTGTTGTCCAGTGCCATACAGCTATTTCTGGTTTGCAAGCAATAAAATGGCTAAATCTCACCTCATAAAACTCCATAGCTTACATTCTTGCCTATTCCTGGTAGTATTGCAATGATAGGCAGCTAAGGTGGGAAACTGATGGACTAAAGAAGGGCTCAGAGTACCACACCTCCCAGGTTGCTAGGTAGAAAAGGGATTGAATCCAAGTCTCTTATGTTGCTTGAATTCCCAGTTGGGACACAGCTGCAGTGACCTAGCTGCTTACCTTCCCTGAAAGCTTGCCTTTCAGTTTCAGCAAAACAACAATTTTCAACAAGAGAAAAAAAATGTCTGCATAAGACTTGGAAAATTTCTAATTACCTGTTCTGCCTCTCACTCAGTTCCCTCTTACCATGGTTTGGATAGACCCCTGGATGGGTCCAAGTCATGTCAATGAGGCATATGTCTAGTACGGCTGCAGTGACTGCAGAATCTCAGGTCTCATTAAAAGATTTTCTTTTTTAGCCTTGGTGGTTGCTAAGAAAAACTTGGAATGTGAACTGAATACAGCAGCTTTACTTACAGCTGCTTGGAGACACAAAAGAGGAGCAGCAGATGGTGAAGCAGCAGTGATTGCTAGTGCAAAAAGCCAGCAAGAAAGCCACTTGCTCCCACATCTGCAGAAACAGGCATAGTTCTCATTTTCTGGGGGCTGATGTGAAAGGCTGGTTCAGAGGAAAAATCTGCCCAAGGAATGGACTTGGGAAGAGAGCAGAGATGGTTATGGCAATAACAACAGTGAATAGGATCTCCTGATCCTATTTAGAGAGAGAAGGTTTACTCACCCTTCTCTGCCTCATCACTTGTCTAAGAGACTCAGATATTTTCTGCTATCAGCCAGGGTATTCTGTTTCCTATCTTAAAAGTTCTTATCTAGTCTAAAACTGCTGATCTTGTTTTTTTTAAGAGATAACTTCCATTGTAGCTAAGATTTCTGATTTTGTAAAGCCTGCATCCTTTCACAATGAAGGATTGCCACATAAACTCTGTAGCAGCATAGTGTAAGATATGTGAATTCCTTTAGCCCTTTTTTTCTAGCCTTCTATGAGCAAAAGATAGCAAAATCAATTTAAAGCAGATAGACACGATAAATAAAAGGTGGGGAGAGAGAAACATCTCAGCTGAAGCACATGTGGGTTTTCAGCTAAGAGCATGTATTTTTAGAAATCGTTACAGCTTCTCAGTGGAACAGCAGTAGATAGTTTTGGCTCCAGACCTGACTGATGTTAAAATGATCACAATCTGATGGAGATAACCTCAGCAAGTTATTTTATTTACCTTCCCTCTGTACTATTAGAAGAGCAAATCTTAAAACTCCATTGATTTTAGGGTACGTAAACAAATTATTTTAAATAATGTGCTACTATTTGCCTTACAGCAGTGCTCAGAGTAACTCCACAAAATTACTTTCCAGGGTGCAGTTCTTCATTAGAATTAGTCTGAAGGCAAATCTGTAGTGAGAGGCTCCCACTGCAGGCTTTTGCCTCACTGCAGGTTCCTGCCCTCTTGGATGTATTTCGTCAGGAGTTTGTGTGTCTGTGCTCTAGAGCAGAGCAGTGAAATGACCTTCAGTGTGCAGAGCACTTTTTTTTGAACCCTGCTGTTTTCACTGGTCGCATTTCTAAAACAGGCCATGTGGTGCTAGATTGCTGGATAGGAAGGTACTATGTATTGGAAGGTGAACCTGCCTGTGCAAGGATGGGACAAAGGCCTCTGAAATGCTTTTCACAGAACCATAGAATTGTCAAATAACTTGTTGGAAGGGACCTTAAATACAATTTAGTTCTAGACCCTCTGCCATGGGCAGGGACATCTTCCAATGACCTCAACCAACCTGACCTTGAAATCTTCCATGGATGGGATTTTCACAATTTCTTTGGGCAACTTTTTCAAGTCTCTCACTACATTCATAGTGAAGAATTTCTTCCTTATAGCTAATCCAAATACACCCTCTTTCAGCTTGAAGCTATTTCTCCTTGTCCTATTACTACAACTTGCTGAGGATACACTCCAGCTTACAGTCCATGGTGCTGACAAAGATTTTAAATAGTACAGTCCCAATACTGACCCCTGATGAATGCCACTCATCACTGTTCTCCCCTGGTTTTGTAGAGAGACAGGTCATAATGTTGGATATTATACGGGGATTGTACTCACATTAGTGGGACAAGAATAAAGCATTGGAGGTGTACTGTTCTGTATATTCTTGCAGATATATTTTGAGTTGTGTGTATGTCTCAGCAACTGGGATTATTAAAAATGCTCTACTGTTTTTTTCATAAATAAAAATAAATATGGAAATAATGCAAAAATACTGTATTAGTTTTTGTTTTTCCAGTGACCTTTAGGATCATTCTGTGAATGAAAAATTAAAAAAAATAAATATTTTAAAATGCCCTGGATTTTCCCTTTAAATTATAGCTGATCTACTGGCTGTTGAGACATTAAATCTCACATGAAGTTGCTTAATGGTATCTTGTTAGTGATGGAAGATAATGAGATGATAAGGACAAAATTCATTGACCTTTCAAAGCTTTTGATTCACTAAATGACGCTGTTAGATAAGCTAATTAAATTTTGCTTTTTCTACAGGAATGATGTCTTGGTTCAGATCTTATTTGATTAAAAGGAAAAATCAGTGGCTGTTTCAGGCTATCATTCTGATTTATAACTATTAGTATTGAAAGGTACCCTACGGCTGAAGAGCTGATTTACTTCTTTTTATTTTGTCCTAAATTATCTCTAAGATATTTGTGATAATACCTAAATTCACTTACATGGTATTTGACAATACTATTTTGTACAACAGTTCTGTAATATCTCTGCCTTAATATGCTTGCTTCCAAAATCACTGTAATAAAAGCATTTGGAAAGACAAACTTGAGATAATGATAAAAGACTAACTTCATCTTAGTTTCCCAGGAGACTTGTCAAGGGGAAAGATATATTCAGCTAACTGCAAGACTGTAATAAATTGTCAGAGAATAACATGATTAGTCAGAATACTTTACTCATGGCATGCATATACAAATGCTCCAAGATAAAAGCATTCAGGCCTGCAGTTCTGCAGAGCCCTTTATTATCATTCATTTACTTCTTGGCATTTGAGCAATTTAAATTTTGTGTTCTTTAACCTGTCAGTGGGAATCCAATTGGGTTTGATGAAAATTCTCATGCTCTAACTCAGCATATATTTCTGATTTAGACTCATACTTCACAAGAAGAAAATTAAATGGTGGATATTTCTAAGATATTACTGAAGAAAATGGGGGAAAGCATGAAGTCTGATACCAGGTGCATGTGCAATACAAAACTTTCTTGATCTGGTGACAGTTTACTACATTATGACAAATATTTAGCTGACTTAGATATCACTGTTCTTAAGCAGGTTGTTTTATGAAGTACAATAGTTCAAACCGTATAAAATATTTTGCAAAACTAAGTGTATTACACCCATTCATCTAGCTTAATCTCTCACACTTTTAATAGCACTAAAAAGTGATAGCAGGTGTCATGGTCTATATTTCTTAAAATTTTATTGACAGTTATTATTAATCCATCTTGTCTTAATTTGTGTCAGTTAAGTTTAAATAAATTTTCTTTCCCCACTACTTGAACTGGGATGCTGCCAGTGACTGAGCTCTAGTTGGCCAGGCAGTTCCATTGAGATTGGTGTTACATTAGGATTCTTCTACTCCTTTGGAATTTCCTGAGCTTATTATTAAAAATGACGCCACATAAACCAGCAGGTTTCTGGAAGCCCTCACAAAACCCAATTTAGGTGAGAAGTTTCAGTTGTTAAAGACTTTCTGCTGAGAAATTAGTGCTCAGGGCCTGGATGTTTTGCAAAGCCTCCCGACAGGCCACAGGCACCACAATACCACTTGTCTGTCTCTGAGTCAGACTCTGCAGGAGTCTACCTCATTCCTCCCATCCAGAGCTGGGAATGATTCAACAGCAGCAAAGTTGTTGGGCAGTCTATAAAGAAAAGTACAGAACCCTGTGTGTATTCTTCAGATGAGTTCTCTAGAAAATAAAGGTTTGTCTGAAAAGTTTCAAAAGAACAGAAAACTAGCAAAACCCAGAGAAGCCATAAAAATCCATGAGAGGGATGTAAAGAGAGAGTTTATACAAAAGACACAGTAGCATTTTGCAGTGGAGCAGCGTGCTTTTATAGCAAAGGTAAGAGACACTGATACATAGGCAAAATCAGAGAAGAAAAACTGATGCAGAAAGTGTATGTGGTAGAGGAAAGCAAACTGGAGGCACTTGGTTCTTTCCAGAACTCAGGATTCTGCATCCCTACAGTGACCCTACAGCCCTTCAAGTGAGTTCCTGGAGTACCACTTCTCATTCAGTTTTGTCTGGTACAATTATGGTTTCATGTGCCCTATTTTCCCACAGTGCCAACTGAGGCAAGAGGTGTTGGAATGACTGGGAAATTTTCTTAAAAAACATGATTCATATCAAAAAGAACAACATACTCAAACATCTAGAATCTTTAAAGTGGGGAATGATTAAGTGTTTTTCAGGTTCAGGGGCCTGAAATAGATGGTGAATTTTGCAGTGAATCCTCCTGGGCAGTGATGGTTAGGAAGAGAAGAAACTCCAACAGATTGCCTAAGAAATATTACCTAAAATAAAGCTTTCTATTTTGTCATTTTGCTTGTGAAACAATGTCAGTGATTTTAGATGATTTGGATTCTCCTCTAAAATCTGCACTTAAGTGTAGAGATTGCTACAGGTGGCACCTTTACACATCAAGCAGGGGATATTTAAGAACTTAATGGTTTAAAGAATTTTTACTACACTTTTGAAAGCACTACATGGAAATTTAGTCCTTCTAAATATTCTTTTGGAACCTATATGGGAAAAAATAATGTGTTACATTCAGAATTTAAATATTTCTTGTGATTTCTTGACAGCTACGATAGTGTGCAGAACATTGCTGCATAGTTACTTTGTCTGGTAAAAAAGATTTTTTTCAAAGTCAGGTAGGGCAAAATGTCAAGATTATTCCAGTGAATTTCACTGGTATGTGCTTTCTACATAACTCAGTTATGTATCTATTATTGAGCTAAGTCCAATTGACATCCACAGGATCTGAAATTTTAGTGTCTGTACAGCTAAGTGTTCTGAATGAGTCTTGGTCTTCTTGAGGTTCATGCCAATCAGCAGCCTCCTGACAAATCTCCAACAAAGGTTTGGACTTAGCATAGGACAGAGGCCAAATGTGCAATTAGGCCCATTCCCAGTGTAGACATCCTGTTTTGGACAGCAAGTAATCTAATAGCATGGATGCAGCTGCTCTGCTCCACTTGGCCTCATCATGAGGCTGGAGCCCTGAGTATACTCAATTAAGTAGTTTAGGCATTGCCATATGGGCAGAGATTTGGAGAAGGTTTCATTTGAAATCTAATGCATTTTCTACGTAACATACAAGACCTTGAAGCAGATTCTGTTTTATCACTCTTTTAAGATGCCCTGGTGTTTATTATAGTCTAGCATTATGAAGTATGGTGTCCAAACCAGATCCAGGGACACCTACAGCTGTCTGCTCCTCTTTCACATCTGCAAGAATGTGAACCCTGCACCACACAGTGCTAAATAGCATGGCTGCTGAAATACAATACTGAGCTGCTCAGACCAAAAAAATGTTACTAGCCTACAGGGTGTGAAGAAATACAGCTTTAGAGTTCAACCAGATACAAACTGGATCACTGACGCATAGAACACTAGTTTTGAAGAATGCTTCAAACTATCTATGCCCAAAATTCCTATTGACTTCCTACAGAGACCAGTATGTGGCAGATTTATAGAAATAGTTATTAGACAATGTGATTGTTCAGTAAGCAAAACTGTGTAATGCACATTTTTTCATATAAAGTCATGTCTGCTTTATTCTCCAAACTTCTTTTTTCCTGTTTTCAATTTCATTTCCCAGTCATGTAGAACAATGTGGTGTAACCCAAAAAGGAGACAGTAAAATGAAAAAGGGCAGCATACACTGTTGCATGCAAAATGCAGCCTGACAGTGGTGCTGAATGCTAATGAGTAATCATTTGGTCTCACCCCAATCAGTCTTGATCAGATAATTAATTCAGGGGCTGACCATATGACCTGAATTTCTGAAGGCAATTGCTGCATAGTATCGTTTTTTGAATGTGTGAACAGGTGGTTAACAAAATATATTCATTTTAAACAACAAAAAAATTCCCTTCATATTAATTTTTGAAAAGCTTAACAAAATAATGTGTACTTACAAAATAATCTGTAAATGTAGGTTAACAATATTTTGGACCCAAGAAGCTTTTTTTCAAGATCACTACCCATGTATATGTCTCTTGTGCTAGTTATTAAGCACAGCAAAATTACCAAATTGTTGCTTAGCACCCCCAGGTTATCTCAAATTCCCACCACTATGTATCTGTTTATTAACTAAAATGCTATTCAAGCAGAAATTTAGATCTGTAAATTCACCTTGGATGACTCTCGAAACATAGGTTCTTCCCACATGTGAAAAAGTAAATGAGTAATGGTTTGTGTATTACTTTAAGTATTAAATTTTGTGTTCTTTGAATGTGTTACTTTGAAATTTTGCCTAAATTCTTGTGAGACAGTGCCAGATAAAGGATACTGGGGACAGAAGATGAATTTTATTTCCTTTGCAGATGTACCTAAATATTTTTCTTTCGCGAATATAGGCAAGTGTTGAATAAAGGCAAATGTAGTCTCTGAGGAAAGCACATTCCTTCTCTGGTAGAATCACACAGATGTGTACAGGAAGATCTGCACTACTGACTGTCTTGAAGAAACAAAGATGGTATGTGATGTTATGTGCAAAATTTGATATTTGAAATCTAACGCCCTGGGTTCTAGTTTAAGCTACCAAGAAGGTTAAGATACCATTTCCTCCTTCTTCTCACATTGCTACAGATTCAGGAAGTAAATCAAGAAATGGGTTTCAATTAGCACTCTTGATATGAATAAATCAATATTTATATGGAATTGATGTTGTGAATTTTGTTTGTGTGGGGTCTTGAATTTGAGGCAGAGGGAGTGGAGGGTGTCTACCCTGAGTCAGAAAATAAATTTGAGGAGTGAGGGAAGAAGATTTGACACAGTATCTTTAGTACTATCATAGAAAATGGCATCAGCAGACCCATAGAAGTTTTATTTAGACCAATGATGGCTCCATTTTGAGTGAAAAAGACTTTATCTTTAGAGGGAGGACT